ATTTACTTTTCCTATACTTTTATATTGACAGCACTCATGACCCCTAGTCTAGGGTCATCAATTTAAACTTAGTGTTCCTTTTAGAGGAAAGTTAACACCTTTAAGAATTATGTAATAATGAATTAGCTCAGCTCAGATTCAAACCATACCTTTTAGAATGCTCTGGGAATAGGTGGTATATAAAATGTGTAAATATACCCCTTACTGTATTACATAGCTGGGCTCAATCAGTAGTCAATTAGTGCGCCTGGGATTTGAACCAGGGGAAATTATTTCATAAAACAGCCATTTATAGTCTGTTCATGCCTAACAGCCTTGCAGATTGGCATACCCTCTAGTGCCACAAAATCAAATCTATGAAATGAAATATGAGAAGAAAATAATGAGACTGATGCTCTTGGAGGTTTCTAAACCTCCCAAAGGCTTCGCAGAAATCTCCGCAATAATCTCGCAATGCATGGAAGAACAGATTAAATGCACAAGTGTATAAAGGAATTCAGCATCTCATAAAAAGGTACAATGATTAATTTATTAAAAAGCCTATAAGCTAAATAAAATGTCTGTACTTATTAAATGATCGATTGTTGATTGATTAATCTATTGATTGATTGATTTGACTAAACTGTAAAAAAAAAAGGTACATATGGAGCAATGATCTTTATAAACATTTATTTACGATGATGTAGGGCCTATGATAGGCCTACCAAAGTATGGGAATACATGAGATAGGTAACAGGCATGGAAAGCACAACACCAATATTTTTTGAATAAGCACCGCTCTCAAGTAAGCACCGCACTGAAGCCTCCAAAAATGTTATAAGCGTAGCTGCGCTTAAAATTCGAGGATTTACGGTAAACCATAAATTTGAAAGAAGCGGCAAGTAAACAAGGTACAAGAAAACTTATAGTCTTTAGAAATACAAAAGTTTTGTGATACACGGTAATTCATAAAATATTATTAACAATGATAAATTACTAATATCATACAGTATATTAGAACAATTTTAAAGAAAAGTGATAAAATAAATTAAGGCCTTAAGTTGCTTGTGTCTTCATCATGTTTGGTGGGTGCACGGCTTGTTCGAGAGTGGTGCTCATTCAGTGATTTACAGTATTCATTTTTTCATGATATTCATTGGGGAACAGTGCTAGAGAGAATGATGATCTGAAAATAACAAAGATTGTCATTTTTTTGTGTAGTCTTTTGAGGGAGGAGGTTCATAGGAACAAACATGTTTTCTCTCTCCTCTCTTTTAAATATATATAGTGGGAAAATAAATGGCTTCTGACCTCCTTTCTTCTTGTCACCTCCTTTTCAGTTTGGCAAACTTTCAATTCTTGATCAAGATTTCTTATGCTACTAGAACTATATTTAGTGTTGGAGCTTTTTGAGCACCCAGAATTTGGTACTTGACAAATATTTTATATTACTTATTTTCTTTAAGTAAGCTTTTTAATAGCTTACTTTTAAAATATGTGACAAAACATGTTTTCTTTTATAAGGTAAAGAAAATTTATTTTGTATAGTAAAAGTCAGTAAATAAGTTACACATCAATATCTTGGTCAAATTTTTCACACTGCAAACTTGTTTTATATTTTCCTAAACTAGTGAGAAAAATAATAAATAAAGTAATAATAAATCAAGAAATGTAAAGATACTGTACGACCGTGCTTGCGATTTTAAATATTCATGTCCCATTGCAGATCCAGTTTTCCTCTAGGAATTCAGAAACTGATTAATTCTGATATGGCGTCGTATAAGTGATAATTGATTCTTGCGCCAGATTTTTCAATTTTTGCCGACAGTTGTTTTAATTACTCATGTTCACAGTTCTTCAATAACTGAGAACTCTAAACCGCTATATTATTTTCGTTTTCAACATCCAACCTCCTGTGGGCGTCTTACATATGAGCTTGTAAAAATCAATTGGGTGAACTTTACAGTAGCTTAATGTCATTGTAGTATTGGTGGTAAGTAAGATTGGTGATAAATAATAGAACTACTGTAAAAGATAAACTCATTCATTTTTATAATCAAATTCGCTTTATAATAAAAATTATTATTATTTATATTATATTTATTTATTTATTTATATGATCTTACACCTTTAGATCTGTGGCACTTAATGACAATTGGTGCATTTGTAAATAAAATGGTAGAAACTTAACTAAACAATTACGTAAAATAGGAAAAATATGAATATGTATACATAAATACACACACGAGTTCTTAACTAAATACAATTAAATATCACTGAGATGATAGAGCAGATAGCCCTTGGAAACAAAAAAATTTCAAAGAGCTTTCTGCTGTCTCCAACCAAAAATCAATTAAAACTGAAAGTATGCCCTTAACAGAATCGTCAGGACTGCAACGCATATCATTGGTTTGGAACAAATGCCTCTGGAAACCATTTTCCATGATCGGCTTCTTAAAAAGGCAGAGGCTATTATGGGCGACCAAACTCATCCTGCCTCAAACGTATTCCAATTGATGCGCAGTGGTCGACGTTTTCGTTCATTGAAAGCCACTAAGGCTAGATTCAGGAATAGTTTCTTTCCTAGAGCAATTAGGGCTCTAAATTGTAGGTAAATGTTTCATACTTTTGCAATTTGTTTCTTTGTTTGTGTTTGTTCTGCCTTTTGGAATGTGTTTTTACCACAGAGCAAAACAAATTTCTATGTTCTCCTGAACAATGACAATAAAATATGATTGATTGATTGATTGATTGACAAAATGAAACGAAAAAAACTTGCATAATGCTCAGCAATACAGATCTTTTTCTTCTCTTTTGAGATACAGATCTTAACCTACTACAAGGATTGAACATGTTTAATTTTTTTTCCAAACTCTCTTAGTATAAAAAAAAAAATACAATGAATGACTTACATGCAGTTAATAAAAATTAATTTGAAAATTTTCATCTGAAATTTACAATAACGTCAGCTTGGAATAGTACATGTTTTTAGTTTAGTATCAGCATATCAATATAATTATTGTTCCATATCGATTTTAAAATGAAATCTAATAAATATCATATCAGGTTTCGTTGATGTCAGTGTTTACAGTGACGGAATTTCAGATCTAAAACAAATAAGTAAATTATATACAGTTGTTGTCTAATCTAACACCCACGAGAAACCATGAGATGTTTTTTTATACTTTATTTACCGGTCAGGAGCTTTCTATTCTGGCACGTAATGTCGATATCACAGGGAAAATTATCAAAAAGTAAAGCAAAAAATCCGGCTTCCTGAACACGGCTAATTACTAAAAGATGATTTGTTATAAATAATGTCCAAACTAACCACAGAAACTCGACCGAAAAGCACTTTCCAGACATTAAAAAAAAGGTTTTTGTATGTGTAAAGTATGCAATTATTTTATTCTTACAATACAATACATGCCTATCCAGCATCTGGTTGAAAAAAATACTGTAGGACAAAATATGTATTTCTTTAGAAAACGAATGTAAATTCACTCGAGATTTTTGACATTTAACATAGAAAATGCTATGCATAAAATGCTATGCATTTTATCGTGAAATTTAAATAAAAATGTCTATTGTTGGCTAATTTTTTTTTAGGGTCTGTCAGGTTATGCCAACATAACATTTTTTTTTAAGCCTAAAGGAGAGAACCAATCAATTTTTACCTTAACAGGATTTCAGTTTTATACTGTTGATAACATGGCATTTATCTCATTTAATTTTACGAAATCCGCGTAGTTTATGTATTGACTTGATGTGCATATAAATTGGTAATACAAGTCTGCTTAAATTGATAATGCGATTAGGTATTTGCATCTGATTAATTAGATGACCGGATGTAATTAAATTTAAATTTACAGTGGTGCTGCTGCTCACATTAAATATAAACAATTTCATTTGTTAACATAAAGGGATTTTACTTTGATTAGTAATTACAGTATTTGGTTGTTCCATGGATGCATGAATTGTAAGCAGAACTGTGGTTTGTTGGTATGGTCCATTTTTTCCTATTCAGAAATCTGAATCCGAATCCTGTGTTTAAATTAAACTGCAAAATTTCAACTTGTAATTTCAGTTTCTCTCATTCATTTCCAAAGATATTTCATAAAACCTAAATGGCATATTAAATTCTTTATTTGTCATGTTCGTCTTGTTCATTATTTCATACAGTAGTTACTATTTGAAGTATGGGGAGTGTTTAAAATACTATTCAGTAAATAATTTCTTGAAGGAACTCAATACATATTATAATAACATAAGGGATTTGGGAATTTGCTTCAATTGCTCTCTCGCGAGTTTCTTTTATCTTTAAATCCTGGCTACATCGTAATTTTTATCTATTATTAAATTTTATTTCATTGTTATCTACTTATCTTTTTATTAAGTCTATTGTAATTTTCAAATGTATTTTAAATAGTTTTATTTGATGATTGTATTCATGTCTTTTTTTAAATACTCTATTTCAGTGTTTATATTATATTTCAATTTGTGTATATAAATTATAATTGTTTCCATGATATTTTATATTATTCTCGTCGTGAGGAGAACCCCTCGATAGTAAATCAACCTTCTACTTCTGGGCAATCGCCTGCCACAACTATATTTTTATATATTTTTATGGCACATTAAATGAAATGAAAATAATTTATTTTATTATTTTGTTTCATTCTTTTATATCGCTCTATTATTTTACACTTATTATAATTACCTCTACTTCCTTTAAAAGCAGTTCCTGTCCACCTAATACAAATATCTTTATTTAATCAGTTTAAATAACACATAATTACAAGGACAATGAATAATTAATAGAAACAAAATAGATGGCTAATTTTAAAAATTATATAATTTAGTTAAAGGCCAAGGTACAGTAGCTATTTAGACCTATTTTTAAAAACTTTTCAAAGTTGATGTGTTTTTTTTTTTTTTTTTGCAAATGTCATTTTTCCGTTTCAGCACAGAATTAATCATTCAAATTTCGTCAATATTGTTTTGTATTCACTTTTTTACAGACGTTATCGAATGCGAGTGTGGGAGGAGTTTCAACACAGCATCAATCGCTACGAACTGTATTCCTTCAATAACTCTCGGATTGATCAACTACTTGTGTATCTAAAGAAACATCCAATCTTTGAAGTCGGTAAGAACATGCCCCAAATCCCTTATATACTGTACCTATTATATTGTTTACCTTTTTATTCATTCATTCATTTTTTTATTTCTAGTTATTCAAAAAGTTATTGACATAGTAGCAGTATAAAATTATAAATTGCATCAATTTACAAGAGTAGTTTCACATCAAAAAGTGATTTAAAATTCACTTATAAAAAAAGGATATACAAAATTCACAAAAGTATATACTATCATGTTTTTAGTAACATGTCTATGATTTGCCCATTTATGGGCATGAAGATATCATTTTAATGTGAAATGTGAGTAATAAGGCCAATAGTTTGGACCTTCTGTTATACGGTGATTGAGTGTCCTATATATCTGTCGCTGCTTAATGAGGATACCTCACTCATTTTTAGCTTTAACTTTTAATCCATTGCTTATTATTTTACATATGAGACACTGTAGATCTAACTGTTGATAAAGTTTTTCCTTTCTAGCACTACTGGGTATACAGCATAGAGAAATATTAAACCAGAACCTAAAGACAAACATGTGTAGAAAGTCATATGTATTCCATTAGTTGTAGGATAGATAGGAAGGTCAAACATGAAGGATCTGGTGAAATATGGAAAACCACTTGAACATTTGATTGAGGAAAAATTGGATTTTTCATTGAAAGTGAGACATACTTTATACCCTTTAAATCAGATAATGCAGTTTTGCTGATTGACTTTTCTAATTAAAAATCCTTAAGTTGATTAGCAGCAAATGTGATAATACAGTAGTTTATACAAAAATGGTAAAATTGATGTGTATGTTAATTAGGGAGGAAATTAGTTTAAAAAACTTAATTAATACTACAAAGTATCAAAAAGGAAAGGGGAAATGAGAAGGATACTGTAGACAACCTCCATGTTTAGGGTATTTATGATGCACCTGGATGGACCATTCTATTATTTTTGTAGGGATATCCAATAAAGAAATGTTGGCATATGTCGGTTCATCTAGGTTCTTTCCTTCAATGCCACCAATGTCATTATGTGATTTATGTAATCTTAGCTGTGTTATAATTCCTATTAATCTCAATACTCACTTTTCAGTTTTTAACAACTCGTTAATATATTTTAAGTAAAATATTTGGCAATTACCGTATTTTATCTTCAATAGATTGTATTTTATAAAAGGCCAAAGTTTTTTATTTTTTCATATTTTGTTTAATTATACTAAATTGTTAATTCTATTATTTTCTACAGTAATGGAAATGTATCATGTCAAAGTATGTTCAATTTTTTTATTATAACAGTAAAGTTTTCATATTTCGTGTTGTATAAAGGAAAAATCATTTTCAATTCAAATCTTATTCTATTGTTAAAAACGTTATTTTCGTTCAATCAATAAACACATTTTGTAAAACATCAAAATCCACTGCAGGCAATGTTTAATATTTACAATGAAAGAAATAATTAATGACCTTATAAAGGATTTGTGAATTGCAAATTTCTAATAGAGTAGCATTGTTTGAAGCATTAAAAGTAGAAGAATAAAATAATATAATATCTAATAGCAATAATCAGAGTGGACTGATTATAAGGTAGGAATAACAAAACATTGAAGTTTGATTGATTATTAAATTTTAAAAGAAGGTTTTCAAGAAAACTCAATTTTTTAAAATAAATGATTACATTCAGTACTACAGTATACTATCACAAAACAATTGTATTTATTTTTATCCAATTCGTCAAGCATTGGTAGTGCAATTTTAAAAATTAGATCATAATTTACCGTAATTATGCATGTTAGGATCATGAAATTTGTGAGCTTTAAATTAAAATAAATCAGACAATTAAATAGAATATACAATAAATACTCATGTGGGATTGATGAAAAGAATTGAAAAATGATGAGTAAACATACTTTAATGCGTAAGGATAAAGGAATAGTTATAGTACTTGGAATTCAGCACTATATCTAAGCCAAGATAGTTTTAGAAGATTCAACACGATAAACATTTTGAGAGTTTATGCATCCTATCGTACAGTATAAAAATGATAACAGTTAATTTATATGAGCAAATAAGTGCTCCCTTCAGTGCTTCAAACACTCTGACCGCCAGGGGTTTGAAATAGTATCAGCCATCGCCTGACTTTTTAGCAAATGTTAACACTTTTCCGAAGCTCATTGAGAGTGCGTATGTGTAATTGCAATCTGTGACCGGTAACAGTAAAATAAAAATGACTCACTTTTGGAGATTTACGCAATCTCGCACAACGAAGCTGAGATAATCGCAATTTTTTAAAAGTAAATCGATACCGCTCTACGGTAATGTAAACAAACAAATAGTGAAATACTTACAGTCCAGACTCAATATAGTGTTCAAATTTTTAGTACATGTATAGTAATTACCCCATCTATCAGATTTCGTATTAAAACCTGAAACACGGAGATCTCCGTGTTTGGCGGTCAAGCGTTGTGTTACCAAACATGGAGATCTCTGTGTTTTGGCGGGCAGAGTGTTAAACTTCTTGTAGGTTTTCAGAACGGTGATTATTAAAAGAGCAATGCAACTATTACTAATTTAGAATAATGCTTTTTTCAAGTATTATCCTACCTTACCAATCAATTTTCCCCGATACCTGTTAGTGCTATAACTTCTAAATGTACAGTATTCATTGTCAAAGTAGTAGAAGATTTTTGACAAAAATAATGAAAATGATAGTTTTTTAGTAGATTTTCTGAGCTTCTTGGCATTCTTCCATACCGTACCTTATACATATTCTTAACACAGAGATGATAAAGTACTGTATAATAAAGAAGAAATGTATTTTTACTTTCTATTTTTTGATCTATTGCCTTATACATTATTTTAACACAGATGATGATAAAGTATAATAACAGGCGATATATTTTATTTCTGAAAATATATTAATAGGCATAAAATTGTATTTTTTCCTGCAGACTACACAAAGTGTATTGGGTAATCAAACTACACATTAATCATTTCACAATGAAGAAATTTTACTTACAGCTAATGCTTTTGTTATTACATATTCCATTGATATTCATTTGAAAGGGTAGCTGCATTTTATTAATCCTTATATCTGTGTAAACTTAAACATTCTGAATTCTTCATCCTATCAATGGATGTCATGCAGGTTGCTACTTTGTTTGTGTAGAACAAATTATGTAATAATTTCTATTCATTATTTTTGTTTTTATTTTCAGAGGAGAAACAGGGAGGGACTCAAGTGAAACTGGTTATTGATTTTGAAGATGGTGGACAAGCTCTTTGGAAGCCTTGGAAGTAGGTTCACCCATTCTGTATATCTTACATGTCTCCTTCTAATTAGAAGACCCCTCCAATTAAAGACCACCTCCAATTTAATACCAATATTCATTGATCCCAAATTAACTAATTAAACTCTTTTATCTTTATTTTTCTAATTAGAGACCAAAGCTAATCCCAAAAATGGTCTTTAATTAGAGGGAAACATTTATGTCATTTCTCCTCTGTTCATCTGAACCATCCCCAGACACTGTTTCAATATTCTACAAAACTTGTATCGTTATGAGGCTTTCAAAATCGTTGTTAGTCATGTTAAAAAATTATACACACCAGGATTTGAACCCCGGATTTTGGCAGTAGAAGACGTGCATCTCAACCACTAGGATACACAACTTTATTCCATGTTGATAGTCATTCGAAAATAGAAAATCAATATTTCAGTTAATTTCTTTTTATAATATAATTCATTGACAAAGACAAAGATTGCTAAAAGAGAAATTTATCAATACTGCATGTATATATTTTGTCAGTGGCTCTAACACAACACATTAGGCTACATCATTGTACATGACAGATAGTGAAATAGTCAGTAGACCTACAGTAGTCATAATTACACACACTTCTCCGAATATTACTATACTGAGTTTAACTAATCATTTAATTAATTAATTTTCTTGTGCAGTATTCATTATGCACAAGGACCAACAGCTTAAAATTTCATCCAAAGGACAAGGTAATTACAATCATGTGTATTACATAAGGAAATGAGCGAAGGTCAACCTAAGGGCAAGTTTCAAACCAAAAAGCATGCAGTGAATCCGTTAATCCCTACTGCTGCACTTAATATCCCTCATGAAGTTTTTTCCGTAGAGTTGTGAAAAAAAGCTAAATATTATTAAGCGCAATTAACAATTAAAAATTAATCCCTCAGGTCTATCACCAAGCTCGTAAATTTGCAGTATCACATTATCAGTACAATGAATGTTTCATCCATAGACAATTATAATGGTGCATTCAGATTGAAGATACAGTGTGGGTTGTATTGAACTATTCAGCATATAAATTCAAGATTCATAAATTTTTTCATCTGTTTTATGAAAATATGAAAAGCGCTTAACAAGCTCTTCCTATCCCCTTTCAAAATTAATGAGAATAGTTGTCTTTTGACATTTTTATTTTCAAAAACTATCTTTTGTACTGGGGGTCGATGAACCTTAGAATTGGTATACTTAATATATTTATGTATTAATACCTTTAAATTTTTTCTTCGCTAATATTGGAGAACTAAACATTCAGTATAATAAAGACATCAAGTAGGGCAAAACATTATTTCTGACTACAGCATTGTACAAATAATCAAGTCAATTTGTATATCGATTTCATTTGATGATGAATAAGTAAAGAATTAAATTGAATAAGTCTTGAGCATTGGGAGAAGATAGGCTCTTTCAATAAAATCTAGTACTAGCCAGATTTGTTAAAACATGGTATAAAGCATATAGGATAGTGATCAAAATATTTGAATTATTTATTGTTGGTTGAACAATACAATAAAATTACAAAAATACAATCCATATAAATAAGAAATTGATTTGAGTATTGATATAAAACTTGACTATTATATTTTCTGAAAAGTCGTTGAAAAAAGTTTTTGGAAAAACTTTAATTAATATGGAAGTATTGGATAACGATTGTGATTGTTTATATGCTGCTGCATTTCATTTGTTCTACTTGGTATATCGTACTTCATACATCATAAAATTAACACCCTGAGCATTCCACCTGTTTAATTGGCTGGCGCTGCCTTGCTTGCGTCTACAGTAGATGAACCTGCTAGCCATAAAATATACTGTATCGTGTATGTGCGATAATCACACATGCTAATCTCACGTGCATGGGGGAATACATAATGTTGATCGGATTCGATTTCCATTGCTGTGTGTATTGTAATTATAGGCCTGTTTCTTAGCTGGATTGAACCGGGTTAGGCGTTCACTTACCTTTATTAACTTCATTATGTATTGATAATTGTACTTAGTACTAAAAGCTAATATTCCCAGTTTTTTTATGACTTAACATGCTTTCAACAATATTGGTCCATGTTTAATGAATATAGTGGTTGATATATTAATGATTATAATAATTATTAATTACCAAAAATGAACATTGATAAATACATTAATAAATTCTAATAACGATGATAAATGATGATAGATACAGTACTAGTAATGTTAATCAGTAGTAATAATGATTGATTATTATAATAGTTATAATGTTTTTTTAATATTGATCTATAATGGAAAGATCAATGATCATAACTAAGATTGATAAAGATAAATATATATAAATTATGATCAATAATATTATCTATAATGATAATAATCAATAATAATTTCTAATCAATAAAGATTAATAATCAATAAGGAAAACAATCAATAATGATAATCAATGAAAACCATAATGAACGATAGAAATGATACATAATAGATGGTTGAGACTAGAGAGTGCTTTTGGAGCTATGTTCAGTGCACTACAACATAACATTTCATGCAGTAAATTGTCGCCAATGTTTCTTGAATTATTGCACTTTCTTAAAGATGTACTGTCCCATGCAAAATACCAAAAAAGTTATAATTTAAAAAAAAAATTAACTTGCCCTTTTTGAAGTAACATGAAAATTATCAACATGAACATAGAAATTAGTCTATTTAAAAAATTTTAGCAATAATTTTACATTGAAAAATGATAGAAACACTTCCCGTCACTGGAAGTGTTTTATTACTTTTATTTTAATTATCCAGCTTCAAAATCGGGGTACATATTTTTTAACTTTAATAATTTCTATGCTCACATGAATAATTTTTATGTTACTACAAAATGAGCAAGTTAATTTAAAAATTATTTTTTTATGATTATTTTGCATTTTCAAGGAACAATACGTCTTTAAGAATGATTGATACATAATTTATATACTGGCTCTTTGTCATAATTGTGTGTGAATTATGTTTAATGAATAAAGTATTAAATAATATACACAATGCACTTTTAGTGTAGTATGAATTTAAAGATAAAAGGTAGTTTTTGGTTTCTTCACCTTTATTTTACGTAGGCCTAAGTTAACATAAAAATAGAGATAAGATTCTATCTTGATTACTGCCATCTTCATTTGGAATCAGACGATGTCATATTCCAATGAATTGTATCCAACTTTAATAGTGGAGTGCATTGCTCAGTATCATCCGACAGCTTGAGAGACGTCAAGAGGCTGGGCCTGGAGGCAATTGGCCCTCTGCCCTTTGTATATGACCCCGATAAATACGGCAAATTAAGACTATTTCCCTAGATGAACATTGAGAAGAATGGGGTATTGATGTTGTCATTAAAGCTGAACGAATTTATTATACATATATGGTAACTGGACAGAAGTTTCTTGACATTTTTCCAATTTTATCCAAATTGTAACCTTGTAATAGCAAATAATGCCAATAGGCATACCAGTACAAATATAAAATTTTGTTTTAGAACAGCAAAACTTAACTGTAAACTCATGAACATTTAAAAAATGTACAGGGTGTAGTCTAATACTGGTTATATGTCTTCAAAAGGTATACATATCGTTTTTTTTAGATGCCCTCCAAAACACATCCAACTTTTCCAAAAAATAAGGAGTGAACAACTCATAACAAGTTATGTCTTTTAAATATTGTATTAAAAGACGAAAATGGTATATTAGTTTAAATTTGATTTGATTATAAAAAAACATGCTTGTACTGTAAAACTACTTTAAAAATTTGTAGTCATACATACCTCATATTTACAATTATTAAACCAAGGTTGAATGCCAATAGGGAAATTCCATCCCTACCCCCACCCAACCTTCTAATCTATATGTAATAATACTTATTATTATGTAGGCATATAAGATATTCAGCACTGTAATCTCTCAATTTCCTTTACTTATGTTGTCATGCATGGAGTTATTTTAATTCCAACACAGACACAGACATATGACCTCATCCCTAGACTGCCATTAGCTGGGGTTTATAGAACATACAGTAGTCTGTGACATGTTCAAAGATCAAATGTCCTAGAGTTAAAATTTTTAAATTTTTCGAATAATATAATTATATATTGATATATATAAGCAAAATATGATGCGGGAAATTTTTTAACTATAGAACCTCTAGGATAGATGAACCTGTACAGAACTGTATCTCCAAAAGCATAGCTGATTGGATGCCCTGTGAACTGGACATTGCTAAGCTTACTGTAAAAAAACCTTGAGTTTTATTTCTGCTATATAGGTTTCTTGTATCTTTGAAATAATACTTTACATTTCATATTATTGCTGGCCGGAATATTATGGTATGATCTAATTTTTTAACATTAAAATAAGGAATTATCTAAAGGGAAAAAAAATGGAAATTACAAACTTCTTTAATAAAAAAAAATCTATAAATTATTTATCCAATCACAGTGATTTATGTGCCTTCGTTTTTTTTGGACTTCACACATTTGATATGTGATTATTGAAAAGCAAAGAGAAAGACAGACTGGAAGCCTTTGAGATTTGTGTTTGGAGAAGAAATCGGATGGAGGAAAATTTCAAATTATGCAGAGAATAATGAACAATAAAAGACGTTAATGGAAATGATTGAACAGAATAAAGAAGTTGAATGAACATGTATTAAGATAAATGATTATTGTAAGAAGTAATTAGAAAAGGAATGGATGGCAATAGAACAGTAAGCAGAAGGTATTTACAGATAATAAGAAGTTAATGCAAACATTAAAGGAAAAGTTAAAAAGATCATCGTAAGTGGATGTGTGAAAATGCACAAATGATGATGATGGCGATGGACCACCACGATGACCATGACCACAACAATGATGATAATGATGATGATGAAGATGATGATGATGTTATGTTGATAGTGACAATTGTGATAATGAAGAAGATGATGATGATGATGATGGTGATGGTGATAGTGACCTTATGATGATGAGGACAACGACGG